TAAAGTTCTTTTGATAAGGGAAAACAAAGCTTCCTCTCTTGGGATGAAAACGTATTTCATCTTGACTAATCATTTTATGGCTCTTCTTTATTTTTAACTATTCTCTGAGCTGGATTAATTGTACACTGTCTGACCCAGTTTCAAATTGCAGTGGAATTGTTTGTTTTTTTTTGGTTAAATGTAAGACTTATAAATTATTTTAATACAAGAAAAAAAAATTTTAAAAAAATTCTTTAAAATGTTTTATAACAGTTACTCCGATTTTGAAAAATCGTAGTAAGTGTTGATGTTTTGGTTCTGTTTTTGAGTATAACAGTTTCAGTTTTTAAGCAGTCTACACAAACAGTAGTGTTTTTACTTTCTTTTCGCGAAAAAAAAGAAAAAAGAAAAGAAAATTAATGTTATAAATAAAAGTTACCTTTAAAATTCCTTCACTTTTTAAAAAAATTGCTTTCTTTTATCAAACAAAATGCGATTTTTTTGGTTCCATCTTTAGCAATGTGCTATTTTTCAAATTTAGAATAAACCAGTATAATTGTATGGTAGAGTCCCGAAAGCTCGGCCTAATGTGGACCGAATGGTGGCCGAATTTTTGTAAATGCTGGGTTAAGGAGAGTAGGATTAAAAATAATAAGTAAGAGTGTTTTCTCGGAAAATATTGTACTGCACTTTTGTATGCATTATTTGTTATTAAGTATAACTGAAAATATAAACAACCCAAACAAACAAATAACAAGTAATATAAAAAACATTTTTTAAAGTCAATTCATACTTAGATCAACCAAGAAAAATTTTATTTTAGCTACTTTTTATTAAGTAGTTACAATTAAAATAAATATGTATATACATATGACAGAATCACAACATTAAGGGTAATTAATTTTTATTAATGATCATTAAAGTATCGTATTGTCATCCAAAAGAATCATGTATATAAAATTTCGGTTCAACTGAATGCACGTGAAAAAAAAAACCCTTTTCAAGTTTTGACACAAGTCTCCAAAATTGTCGCTAAGTCGCCAACGTGGCTGTGTGTGTGTATTTGTAATTCTTTTAATAATTAGTTTTAATCAATTAATTTTTATTAATTATAATTATATTATATTATCATCCCAAATAATCATGTATATAAAATTCCAGTTCAATTGAGCGCTTTAAAATATATTTTATTAACGATTGAAAATTCCACCAAGATAAATAAATAAATATGTAGAGAGTGTGAGCTAATTGTAGGAATTGAAAAAATACGTACTTTATGAAGCACACAGAGCATTTACTACATGAAAATAAAAATTGAACATAAAGTATACAGTAATTTATCTGATCAGACACACCTCAGAAAAATACTTTATGAAGGCATGAAGCTGTCTATAATAAGAATTAAGTAGCCGACTTTGCAAAAACTGGCTACAATTTAAAGAAATGCTAAATGTTCCGACGTCTTCCTTAATGCATTTTGCGTTTTGCTGCTTCATTACGAAAATGACGAAGGACCTACAAGTCCAGTACCCCTGCACCTTGTTGTTTAAAGTACTGAAATAGGGGTTTCGGTAGACTTTAGTTCCTCACTATGTGATATTTTAGGAGTTTGTACGGTGTCTTCAACGTTAACATTGTAACGAGTCTATCCGCCAACCTTTTACTAATCCCCTCTTGTGGTAAATTTATACTTTTTAACTGTATGTTCTATTGAAAACTTTCTACCGAAAAAGAGAACCGGAATTATTCGAACGAGTTGTCTATTTAAGCGTTGACATTTAAGCACTTTTGTGATTGGAGAATACAAGTGATAAAATTGAGCTTAAGACTTACGACCGGAGATCGTACAATTAAGTAAGATAGTTACGGTGAATTATAAAACGTTAAGTCCAGAGTGCTACAAGTGTAAGTGGAGTTAATTATACTTATATGTTAAGTAGTCTTAAGCTGTGCGATTGCTCTTCTAATTAGTTACTTATTGCTTTTCCTATCTTTAATTGTGTGTGGTTTAAGTCAAAGGGATAATAAATTTGAATTTAAAACTTGTTATGGCTGATCTTTATTCGAATCTCAAAACACCAACAGCCGCTAGTCGGTTTTCACAACATCTTCATCATTTTTCAACATTTTCTCATTAACTGTGACAGCTTAACTTTTACATCGGACAATGTCTTGCTCTGTATCGGGTCAGCACGTGGGTTTTTTTCAACGTGCAAGGGGGTGGTGAGTTATC